CAGACAGACAATAGGTTTTCTCTGGGTGCTCCAGTTTTCCTACAAAAACGACAGACAGACAGACAGACAATAGGTTTTCTCTGGGTGCTCCAGTTTCCCTACAAAAACGACAGTCTGACAGACAATAGGTTTTCTCTGGGTGCTCCAGTTTCCCTACAAAAAAGATAGATAGATAGATAGATAGATAGATAGATAGATAGATAGATAGATAGATAGATAGATAGATAGATATTGTCTGTAAATTTCTTTATTAGTAAAATGAAGTAATCCCACTAAATATAAATTTTCTGCGGGTGATCTAGTGCCTAAAAACACAAGTGACAGATTGTAATTTGCTCTCTTAGTAAAATCAATTAATATTGCTTTAAACAAAAGTTTTCTCCAGGTGCTCTGGTTTCTTTACAAACACAAATGTCAGACAGACGGATATTGTCTGCAATTTTGTCTATAGTTAAAATTAATTAAACCTATATTTTATATAAGTTCTCTCCAGGTGCTCCAGTGTCTCTACAAACATGATATATGTGCCAATCAGGTTTTTTCCTTATTATTTGTTTAGCTTTCTGACCGTTATGCTAATCCGGGTGAGTGTAGCTGTGCGCTGCTTTACCTGCTGTCTGATCGCTCCATATGTCTTTTTTTTTACTGCAGTGAGCCTCGATGTAGCCAAACTCCGTCAAGTATGGCATTGTTTTTATGCCAGGGTTTCTCCCAGAAAACTTGCTAAGCCCGGTGGTCGGGGCGTCGAGGCGGTCCACCGTGTTTTTGTATTAAAAGATATTAAGTTGACAGGAAATATAAAAGTATTACTGTGTAATTATATGTTACGGGAAAAGTTCTCCAGTGAAATGCTATTTAAACCCACAACCTGTATTAAAACAACTAATTTGCACTTCTGTTTAATCCAAATTAAGTCAGCAGCTCCATCAGGCTGCTCCTGATGATGGCGTTACTAATATTTTCGTGACAGATTTCTCCTTGTCTTGCATTGGGATAAATTGGTTTTCTGGACACAATGGATCACATAGTGACCAATAGGCGCTGTCCAGTCCAGTAATACATATCAATTAGCAGGAATATGAAAGACGTAAAAATAATTAACTCCATTAAGAAATTGTATTTAAGCTTCGGTGCTACATGAAGCTCATTTTGAAACAATGCAAGTCAAAAACTATTTAATTTAATATATATAAACTATACTCCAATACAAGACAAGGAGAAATCTGTCACGAAAATATTAGTAGCGACATCATTTATTATTAGATATATCTATTAAATACAACTTAAAATAAAGATTAGAAAACTGATGTTTGATTTGATCAATTCTCCATGATACATAAACAGTTTAGTTTCTGTTAGTTCTGTCAAGATGCAAGAAGGGGTGAATTTCTATTTATATTGGTCAATCGTTTTATTTTAAATATGCTGTAGGAGCCGTAGTTTGACGACTGTTAAAAATATCGCCACGTTTTGCAAACAGAGGGGTATGGAAGCCCATTTCCGCCATGAAAAAAAAAAAGACCAACAGGAAGTCATAATTTCGACTTTCAAAGTCATAATTATGAGATTCAAAGTCATAATTTCGACTTTCAAAGTCATAATTTCGACTTTCAAAGTCATAATTATGAGATACCGGAGCAGTTGGAGACAAGCCTCCTTAGAATAACAGCGTGCTTCAGCTCCCAGTTAAATATGATCCTAAATCCAAGGTCCAACCTTTGCTACTGCGTTAAGAGTCAGTAAAAGGTAGGTTCGCCTTTTTTGATTTTTGATTTTGTTTAGATTCCTTCGTTTTGAATGCTTTTTGGTCGTGTGGTGTTGTGTACATCGGTCGTTGTTTTAGCAACATGAGCTAGCTGCAGGTTAACCGTCAAAGCGTGCTAACCTTGTTATAGCATATTTAACAGGGTTTTTTTTTAAGTAGTCCGTTAATTAGATCGTTTTTATTTCAGAGTGGGATAAGAAGTTTGTACTCCATAAATTCAATAAGTTAATATGTATAATTATTTCGTGACATAAATACAAGCAATAGCTAGTATTTATGCTAGCTAAATGCTAGCTAGCATAAATACTAGCACGTTTTCTTATGCATAATGTGATTCACTATCTTTCCCGTTAAATTGTTTTTGTCGATACATAGACAAGAGTAAAATATGGAAGTACAATATGCATCAGTTTTCAAACTGTTTTCTTAGCAGTTTCATGTACACTTAAGCTAATGCTGGAGATCTACAGCTTTACATTGACAATATTTATAAAAGCAATTCAAAATAAGAAAAATTGAGAAACAAGGAACTTTAAAAATCCCCAAAACAGGCAGGCCCTGTTGAAAAGTTTAACTCCTCAACTTTACTCAACTTTCAGGATGCCTACAAAAGAGACAGAAGAGGTTCCTTTGACCTGAACCTAAACCTAAACAGAGGTAAGTTGCAACTCTTGTGAAAGTCCAATTTATCATATTGTCTGTTTAAATGAAAGTAATTAAGATCAAAACTAAAATCATTCTGATGATGTTCATGTACTTGACTCTTTTATAAAGATGGGAATTTCATTTTGAGAATTGTTCAACCATTGAAATATTTTAGGGGAAAAATGTAAACAGAACTTTCAGACCTAAGCTCTACACTTTACCATTTAGTTGTGGAGACACTGGTAGATTTTTCTTTTACTTTTATGTAGTTTCTTTGTGTATTGGTTTATTATTGCAGATCTGTACAGCTGTTTGGTTGTCTATTGTCTTTTTTTTTAGCAGGAGCTTGAGTCTGAAATACAGTTTCTATCTGTCTTGTAGGGTTGGACAATAAATCAGTTATATGTATCACGATACACACGTGATCAATATCAATAGATAGTAAGTCTGACAGAATATTCAATAGAATATTCTCTAAACTCTGATCCAGAACCACCTACCATTCTGGACGTTGTAGGCACAGTCAAGGCTTCTCAACCTCTCAAGGCTAGCTCATCTAGGTTGATGGCATCATTTAACTAAATGGTGAACTAGCAACAAGCTGTTGAGTAACTTGCGGAGCAGCAGTTTAATGTTTCACCACTGTGCCTCATAAATGTTTTTAAAAAACATTATGGTGTGAAAGCTGTGGATAAAATGGGAAAGGTCACATCACCAGTTTGGCAGTATTTCAGATATATAAAAAAAAATGATGTAAAATAATAAAAAATGCTTGTATCGTGAAATGTTTTTCAGTAATATTCAACCCTATTCTCATGTTCATAATTTTTTTGCAATGTTATGTTTTATTAGACATTGTTCATTAGTTATTGTGTGTAATTGTCACAGGATGGATGAGATATACGACTTCTTAAAATCACGGGATGTTTCAGAGGAAGTCATATAAAGACTGCAAAAGAATAAGGTAGCTAGATTGCTAAGGAAATCAGTACATTTAGAAGTTATCATACAACACTATTATAGAGACAGATCAGTGATAGAGATTTTTGGTATTATCATTTTGTTATTACTTTAGTTCATATTCAGTCTAATGTTAATCAGTATTATTGTGATTTTTAGTT